ACAGAACATGACGTCTGTGTGCTGAGTTTTTTCATGGCGTATTTGGCAAGGCGTCACGAGGTCAAAACGGGAGTGTATTTCAGTTCACATTTAGGTTGTGCATCTGACTAACACTGTATGTTGTAAGTTTCCAGCGGTTAATCATTGGCTGACTCTTGAATCCAGCAGTCACAGTTTCTGCTGCTGCCTGCTGACAATTACAGAAGCAAAGATTGCTGATTTTCTAAATTATCTCAGCTTCATGACAACAAACTTTAGCATAAACTGTAGCAGGCATTGTTTCTTTGTATACCTACAAAAAGTAATTTACAAGAATTCAGACATAACCCACATAATCACAAGCCAGTAATTCATATTTAACCCATGTAATCGGGAGGGCCGCGATCACATGACCAATGTGTTGACAGGAGTAAAGAAGAAAGTAGTATAAAGAGCAAAAGCCTGCGCAAGGAGGCTGGTTTGGGTGGTGGATGGATCAAACAAACACAGGACTCTCCCCCAGGAGACCGGTGTTTGTGTCTCATGTGAAACAAAGTGAACTTTGAGCTATTTTAAGGTACGTTGTCATCATGCTTCATTTCCTAAGTTAACCTGTGTAACTTTACTTTTCTTTAAGTTAAGTATGTAAAGTGATATTGCACAATCATATTTCTTTTGTTATAGATTACCAATCTAACTGTACTTTTCTTAACCTATAGAGAAGAGCAAGCATACCATGATTTGTACCTGTGGTTGTATCTGTTCAACCAACCAAATTATCTGCATCCACACTCGGAATGGGCGGAGTTTAAACCGGAGGTGGGGTGTGTTCGAAAAGGAAATTGGTGGGGCCTAAGCACTAGTTGTTATTTTAAACTTGAAATTACTACAGATTGATTAGTGGTTGCTATATTAACTATTTATTAGAATACTATTCACAGAACAGCTTTAGCATTGAACTTCAGATTCAACTCCGAAGTCGTCAGACCGCTAAACCTAACCATGTGTGTGTGCTGGCAAAACATAAGTACTTGCGTTAGTTGTTGAAGGAAAAAAAAAAGGTTAATTTGCTGTGTTGTACGGACGTAGTGCATTTATTTTGAAAGAGACTGTATGCAAACTGTAAATTTCCTGTGAAAACGGAAGTTGACATGGTGTCCAAGAACGTCAACAACCAAAGCACCCAGGGTACCTTGCAGTTCGTATCTCGACGTGGAAAGTCCATGACCAAACGTAGATATGTGATGAGGTCGGAGTGAGAATGTGTTGTCAGATTACAAGAATAGGAGACTGATCACAGCTACCCAAACAAGGATTTTTTTTCATCGGGATTACGGATATTGACACGTTTTATGCGGATGTTACTCGTACATTTTACTCGTACATTATTTGTGTTATTCGAGTTATTGTTGTTATTAGAGTATTCAGCTCAACATTACTAACCAACTAAACATTTGCTGCCTAAACCTAAACTACATAAGTTTATTCTAAGCACATAACTAAGTTAAGTACGTGACTTGACGACGCCATTTGCGTGGCACCAATTCACTCGATATCATACAAACCGTTGTATGAAGACACTTTGAATGTAGACATTGTTGTCTGCGGTTTAGTTTTCCATGATTTAAAAAAAAAAAAAACCTACGAAACAAAGCTGCTGGTGTTTTGGTTTAATGACCATGTTTATTGGTGACTAGTAGCCAAATGCGTTTGTGGTTTCCCATTGTAACTTCCATAAATGCTAGCAAGAAAAAAAGTGAGTATGTACAGAAAATGAATTAGAGTAAAAATGAAGGCTTTTACAAGGATATCAAAATGTTCTATTTGTGTTTTCAACAGCTGCCGTCACTACGAGCAACCAGGAAGCATTCGGCTGAGTCACCAGTTGGTTAACGCTAACTTGTTTAAGTGAAACAGTGGACAACATTATACGTGTTCTGTTTGTAATGCCGACCAAATTATGTTTTTGTTTTTGCCCTACATCGAGCAACTAATGTTATATTTCACAATAATGCCACAGATAGTTGACTGAGTTAATTTAGTCAGTAACGTTAGCCCGTTAACGTTAGCTACATTAGCTAAGCATTGTTAATTTAGCTGATGTTACTTAATTCACAGTTTTTTTCCAAAGCTGAAGTTTGCTACTACTGTTGGATCAGCTGGGGGCTGCACAGGTTCTTCCCAATGTCAAAAGTAATGTTACATAAAAGGTAAAAATACAAAGTTTTACACTTGTTAGGACAGCGTGTATTCAGAGGTATTGTAAGGTGATAAACTGCAATAATGGCGACTTGTTTATGTGTCGTACTTCCCCAGATTCATCTATAGGAGAGTCCTGTGTGACTCCACACTCCTGTATTGACTTCACATACATGCACACACACTGTGCAGTGAGGACTAGCTATGACTCACCAAAGAGCCCTCACCTCTTTAACCCTCCTCCAGCTGGCTCCCACCTCCCCACAACACCCATTAATTCTACACACAGGCCGGTTATCTCCAGTGAGACATTAGTGACAGATCTATTGGTTGTGAGGGCAAGAGGTGGAATTGATGGAGAGATAAAGTGAGACAGAAGTGCCTGGAAGAAAACCAGAGCGAAATGAAACAAAATGGAGAAGAAAAAAAAACCCTAAAGGGCTGCAGGAGAGAGACTGGAGTGATGGACAACAACACAGTCCTGTTTTATATTCTCACACGATTCCACATTGTTTCTCAGCACGCACACTCACATGCAAACACACACAGTACAGTGTGTGGCTTTGTCTCGCTGGGACAGTGATGACTCATTCTCTCCTGTCGCCCATGGGACTGGAAAAACACACACACATAAGCGGGGAACCAATTGATGGGTATGATGATTGATAGGCGTGGGATGGCTATTATGATTGCAGTTGCAAGGACAACCTGGACACCTGCAGCAGCAGCATCAGCAGCAGCATCAGTGTGAATGGACTGGTGTGTGTTTGGGCGAGGCGTTTGTTTACAGCATGCACTCGTGTTCATTTTTTCATTGTTTAATTCTTAATACAATGTTCATGTTCGCTGCTGAATGCCTCCTGCTCCAATTTCAGAAACAGCAGCCTGTGGTGAGCAACAACAACAACAACAACAAGTTTTTTTTTTTTTTTTGAAAAACGCCTCAGTCTTCTTAGTGTTTATGTTACATAACAACACTCGTGGTGGTTAAAGGGAGAATAAAGACAAACAAAACAATGTCTAGAGTCCTGTTAGTTCCTAATTTGCTTCTTTGACTTCCTTTAATGAGCGTTAATGGGCAAACAGAGGAAGCTGTGTAAAATGAGTTTTGTCACAGAGTGTGTTAGTGGATGTTCTTGCACCTGTAGGACAGAGGAGGAGATCTGTGGTGTGAGGATGGGATGGGATCAGGGGGTGGACTTTCCCTTTGTATGACACACATTGTGAAATAGGTTACATTGTCTTTATTTATCTGCTCCCATTATGTTTCTTTAGATTTAGAAAAAGCTTATGTTGGCATTGTACGTTTCTGCAAAGCGCAGATACATTACCTTTGCACATTATTAGTACTAGTAGTTCAGACCAAAGATTCGCGACAAGACAAGTTGAAACGTGCAACTACTTGTAGTGCGCTGTTCTGCAATGTCATAAAAACCTGCTGGTTTACACCAGTGCAACTAGATGAGATGGTGTATCATCGCTATGCAACAACTCTCTGTACTTCTGTTCTGTTTGCAGCTTTTCAGGCTTATTTTGTGGCTGAATATAATTTGTAGCTTCTTAAAATATGAATGAGAATAGTGATAGTGAGATACTGGCTACAGCTGCATTTGTAGTAGTGATGAAACGGGGAAAAACGGAAACAAAACGAGCTTCAGATGGACTGTGGGTGACATGCTTTATGTTCTAAAACCAGCCGCTGGCTATTTGACCAGCTCAGTTGCAGGTGACACTATCAGCTAGCTCGAGTAGAGCTAAGACGGGTCAGTCCACACCGCTGCAACTTTTCTCTGCAACGTACTAAAAGGGTTTCGTCTCATCGTGAATCTTTGGTCTCAACTGGGCTTTAGCTTTCAACAATACTGTGGTTAACTTGTGGTTAGGCTTAGGCACAAAAAAACACTTGGCAGAGAAACATGTAATTATCGTTGTTGTTGTTGTTGTGAATTTCTCCCTGATTTTGCATCATAATGTCTGGTTGTTTTTAATGTGAGGAAGTACCACTATTCTCCATTACAGTTATCCCCCGCCTGCAAGTACACTGCTACATGTAGCTACAAGCTAACCTCAGGGAAACATGTAATCATGGTTGCTTATGTTGTTAATTTCTCCCTGATTTTACATCATATTCTTCCTGGAACATGTCCGGTTGTGTTCAGAAGGTTTTTTTTGCTTTTTTTTTTTAAATGAGAGACAGTGCCACTTTTCTCCATTACTTTTACTCCCTCGCCTGCAAGTACACTGCTACATGTAGCAACATGCTAACGCTAGGGAACCATATCTAACGTTGGTGATGTCTGATTATTTCAGAACATTTTCCTGCTGCAACATGTCTAGTTGTGTTTGGAAGCTTTTACTGGTGATTTTTCAGGCAAGAAGTGCCACTATTTTGTCTCAGGTCTGGAAATGCTAAGCAGACTGGGCTTTTTTGGGAGGTGGGCTTAAACAGACAGGTGCTAAAACTGAGCGTTGTCTGACAGAGTGTGAGACAGGTGTTCCAGCACAGACAGGATGAGGAAAATAAAGTGTTTTTTGACCATTAACGCATGTAAATGTGTTCTAGTAGAAACCCAACATACAAGTGTAAACCTGAAAATGAGCATAATAGCCCCCGCTAAGTTGTTTTAAACTGTTTTTATCCATTCAATGAAGACTGAGTGTGTTACTCACTGCCTGCAGCTGTGTGTGTGACGGAGGTGATAAATGCTGCTTCAGCTGATAGTGTGTCACAGAGCACAGTGACTGACTACTGACACAAATGCATGACACACACACACACACACTCTCATTTTCTCTCCATCTGTACTTGTTGTTGACTTTACCTTGCAGGCCTTGTTCTTGTCATGGCCGCTGCTTTGCGCGCTGGCAGGGCACGGCGAGCATGGCTCCTGGTGGTAGTACTGTCCGCCCTGCAGGCCGCCATAGTGACAGCAGCCATAAGGCGAGGGGAAGTGTGTGTACCACAGATCGTCGGCCAGCGGACACTTTGGACAGGGGTACAGGAGGCCTTTCCCCTGAGCCTTCTCCACGCTCACCTTCGGGTTCCTCATCCATCTTCGTACCTGTGTGGGAAAGAGGTGCTCAGTCTCAGGGTTGATTTTTTTTTAAGAAGAAGAAGAAAATGTTGGTTTGATCTCACTTTCCTTTGTTTTTTAAGTGCTCATACAGGTGCTCCACCATCACACACACAAATACACACACTGTCAACCCTCCCAGCTGCAACCTTTGATCAGAGGACTTCCTCATGTTACCCCTGATTACATGTCATTTCAAGTGAGACACTCGCACGCAGAATTACACTTCAAAGAGGCTCGCTCCTCCGCTCTGCCACATATTGAACACATGAATCAGGCGAACGCGCAGAGCATGACACACACGCATGAAGCACAATGCTGAAAGCACCCTCAGATATGATGAAGAGTGACGTCTATCTTGTCTAATCTTGTCTGAGATCCTTCCAGATCTTTGCCTTTGACTTGACTTGCATTAATGGTGACAATACTTCAGAAAGCTCTCCCTGCAGAAGAGGACTTCAATCCGTATGTGGCTATTATCATGAATTATCATTATCATCCCTGTCATTGACAGATGTTGACACTTTGCAGCCGTACTGTAAAAACACAGAGTAAGACATTGCATTACATGGTGAGATATCACCGGCACATGCGCATATTGGTGCATGCAAGCACACTGCATACACGCAACTCCCCTGCAGTGACTAAGACTTCCCAGAAAAGCCCTGTCACTAACCGAAAAATCTGGTGAGTGTGTGTTTTTTTGTTTTTGTGGGGGGGGGGGACGACATGGAGGAAAGGTAGTGAAAGTGGTGAGGAAACCGAAAAGGAGGATACCTACATGTAGGAGACGGGAGGAGAGAGAAAAGGCAACATTTTCACAAGGAGCCTTATAAAATCTCATCCTGCTGTGTGAATCGAACATTTAGCAAACACACACGGCGGGAGCAGTAGCCTGTGCGCCTGAACAGCACAGAGTCCAGACAGCTGTGACACACACACACACAAACACTGAGATTGAATGCCTAAGTCAAAGACCAGCCAGACAGCACGTCAAGGCATGTCAGGCCTAAAGGAAAACAGACTTGGAAAAACACTCCGGCAGGTCAACGCAAAAACAAACCAGCCACTGAAGGACTGGCACACAAGTCCGATGACACAGACCTAAAATAAGAACACAACCACACAAGCTACTTCACACAGGACACACAGATTGATGTTGAAGCCAATTAGAGGATCTTTTCTTTTGTTTTTTGTCTTCATATTCAAAACAGAGTGAGAAATGTTTTGTGGATCAAACAGGGCGCTGTCATACCTCTTGTTTAACGTGTCAGGCTTCTGAAACTGATGTGAGGTGTCATCCGGCGCTTAACACTTGTTCACCTCTGACACAAAAACACTGCGCTCACAGCAGTAGGAATGTTTTTTTTGGTGTGACCCACCTTAAAATGCAGTGACGTGAAGTGCTGTACGTTACAACATCGTTTTGATGGGTTTGTTTTTCTGTGTGTAACAGGTCATATCTCAGTATCTCACGAGCTGCTGACTTTGTTTCCAACAAAATGTTGCATGTCAAAATTCCCCATATTGGCTAAATAGCATGTCTCATCAACAACTGATACGCACAGTGGCGGATCCTCCTATAGGCAGCCGCGCGGGGGTGGGAAAATCAGTGTTTCTAAGGCAGAAAGACCCATTTGCCATAGAAAATTCATCTTCTATCTAAATAACTACACAACACTTCTAATTAGTTTAACTTTTAACATAACATTGTTTAGCGGCAATCCTGTAACATGATGATACGCCGCTGGTCGCCGTTTTAGTTCCGTTTTTTGTTTTCTGACATTTTTGCTCTTAATGGATAGAATAGTTGAGAGTATGAAGGGTGAGAGAGAGAGAGAGAGAGAGAGAGAGAGAGAGAGAGAGAGAGACACAGACACAGCAGGGGGCCGCAAGCCTGAGTCGTGCCCGAGCTGCTGCAGTGAGGACGGGGGTTTTAGTGTCACGGTGCCCAGTGGTATCAGGGGGAAACATGGCGGGACAAGAATAAAAGTTAAGGCGGCTAAAGTCCGAGTGGGGTGGGTGGGTCCAACAAACACGGACTTTCACCCGGGAAAGCCGTGTTTGTGTCCCGTAAGATTCTAAAGCCAAACCTTGTCATTGCTGAAGGAAAAAAAAAACTCAATTGGCGTTGTTGTACCAATGTAGTGCATTTATTTTGAAAGAGACTGTATGCAAACGTTACAATTCCTGTGAAAACAGAAGTTTATTTTGAAAGAAGACAATGCATGTCACAGGCAGAACTTGACACAGCATCCAAGAACATCAACAACCAACGCACCCAGGGTACCTTGCACGTCGTATGTGGACGCGGAAAGCCCATGACCAAACGTCAATATGTGACAAGGTAGGTACGGCACTGGATATGCACCATCCGAATCCACAGACAAAAACACACACACACACACACGCATACACACACACAGCCATTGATTTCACAATGGCTGTGTCCCTCTATCATTTCCCATACTCATTTATGATACAGTGCTCTGTCCTGACTCGTGCTCTCCACATTATGTAATTAGGCTTATTTAGACACAAATAGAGAGACAAATAAACCCTTAACAGCAGCAGGCATTAATTCTGATTTGGGGCTGTGTGCTGATGCGTATCTGGAAGCGCTTGTTTTCTTACTGGAGCAGAGCAAGGAAGGAGAGCCAGTTTTATACAGACATATGCAAAAGAAAAACAAGATATGAAGATTTTATATAGATGGATGCATAGATAGATAGATAGATCCTCGGGCTCTTAAATACTGATAAATATGTGTAAAAAATAAATAAAATAAAAAATAAATCCCACGGGAGACTCATCGCAGCAGAATGCGCCTGTGGGAGTGCATGTGTGTCTGTGCGTGGGTGTTAACACAACACAATCTGCCCATATTAACCAGCCGAGTCATCAGGGATCCACACCATACTGTACACCATCTGAGACCAACACACACTTTGGAAACCCTGCTGCCAGCAACAACACACACAGAAAAGTATCTGCCCGGCAACTTCATATCAAAGATTATTTATCAAGCACATAAATGATAGTCGATTGTTCCCAGTAATTATGAGGCTGAGAATGTGGTTAAACATAATAACCTGTGCAATAAACCCTTCCTTTATCATCTGATTTATTATACTACACTGTTTGTGTAATGGAAAAAATAATGTCGTGCCATATTCCCAAAGCAATACAGTGATTATTGAGTAAATGCATCACTCCACCTCTCCTCCACAAGCAGGAAGTAATGTTAGTCATTTCCTTCCCGTCATAGCCCACAGTCATATTGCTCAATGTTTTCTTTTGATCTCATGTAAATCCGCAGCAAATTATTCAGATCCGAGGGAGCAGGAGTTGAACTGTTTGTTGAGCTTGGCGTGTTTTGAACGAGTGTAACAAACGCTAATGGAGGTTTAGACAGACTGCGGCACATACTGAAGCTCACGAGTCCAACAAACACCTGATCATGTCGACCAGTTTGGCAGCAATTTACATTTCCGTTTATCGACAGCATGGCGTTACTTACAGTCATAAATCACTGGGTAACAATGAGCATCCATATGCATCACCTCACTTCAAACTCTGCAGCGTTTCTGCTTTCTTATCTACCCTGATTTATTAGATGTGATGTTTTTGGTTTACTTACAGGAGCATGGAGCACACGGACTGTCAGCGCATCACTAACATGAATAATTAAATAGTTTTTTTTTATTGTTTATGGCTGGAGCTAGAGATTGCTTTTTATTTCAATTAATCTGTCAGCCATTTGTGTGACTAATCAATTAATCATTCTACATGTCAGATGTGATGTGCAGTGTTTGTAGTATGGTTTTGTTGCTTTGTATTTTTGAGTTTTGTATTTATGTTGATGTCATGGGACACAAGATCATTTTCAGACTAATTTAATTTAATTTAATTTAATTTAATTTTATTTTATTTTATTTTACTTTATTTTTTTGGACATCTTACATTATGTTATCATCAAAAAGTCCCCGACCCACTTAAGAAAATTTTAAAAAACAAACAAACAAAAAACCAAACAGCAAATATATCAATTTTCTGTGGTTTTACACAAAAAATGTACCAAAATAAGTACTAATGACTAAATTGTTTGACTAATTGTCGATTAATTTGCCATTGATCTATTCATTTTGGCTCAGCTCTAAATCTGTTATTTGTCTAACGCATATATTCCAAGCACAGGACAATTCCAATACTTTCTAATGTGGCGTGCTTCATAAGGGGTTAACGTTTAAATCAGTGGCTTTATTAATGTTAATAAACCATGTATTACTGCTTTATACTGCAGTAATGAAAACAACATTTCGGTGTCTAATTGAGAAAAATCTCCCTAGTCTACTTTTTGCCCTTTCTCTCATCTTGATGTCTCACTCAGAAGTGAGCAACGAATGACCCTTTATTAATAATTTACCTGCATTTATAACTGCAGCCTTGATGGATGACCAGAAAGTGAGTAACTAATTAATACTGGCTAATGAGTCTCACTTTAAAGGTTCTGTATGGGACATTCAGAGCATTAATATAACAGCAAACAACTATGTTTGGTAAAGATATAGTGGGGTAATGGCGTCCTGGGCAGAGAATGAAGTCAGTGTGTGTTGTAAACTTCTTTATTTTGTTATGGTATAGACCAGGGGGAGGCAGTGTTGGCTCCAGCACTGCCTGCCCATCTCTGAGCCATCTCTATGCGATGCGATGTGATACGATACGATACGATATATGACACAATACGATGCGATACGCTGTATTTTCATTAAGAAATGAAGCATACAGCATAAAAATATAAAAACACACACTACACATAACATAAAATTCAGTTTTTGTGTGTCTACCCCTAACCCTATGAGTGGTCCTATAAAACTGACCTGCAGTATTAATTAACTTAAATCATGGGCTGCAGTGCTGGCAAACTGTTGAAGAATAGCTTGTGAAGATTCCCAGTTGTCCCAGTTGCCTTATTCATTAACTTTGTTTAACTTATCATATGTAATACAATCACAAAATGTGATTTGCCCATATGTTGGCAAAAATGGCTTGAAAGATGATACGATACGATACAATATGATACGATACGATACAGTACGATACGATGCGATATAATACACTTAATTGTCCCCATAGGAAAATTCGTCATGGACTTAGGAGCTGCACAAGTATTTCTGCCTTACAATAATAGTCCAGAAGAAATGAAGCATACACCATAAAAACATAAAAACAAACATTACACATAACAGGAATGTCAGTATTTGTGTGTCTACCCCAGTGGCTATAAATGGTCCTTTAAAACTGACCTCCAGATGTAATTCATTTAACTTAAATCATGGGCTGCAGTGCTGGCAAACTGTTGAGGAATAGCTTGTGAAGATTCCCAGTTGTCCCAGTTGCCTTATTCATTAACTTTGTTTAACTTATATATTAACTACATATGTAATACAATCACAAAATGTGATTTGCCCATATGTTGGCAAAAATGGCTTGAAAGATGATACGATACGATATGTGATATTTTATTGTCCTCGTAGGGAAATTCATTGGACTCAGGAGCTGCACAAGTATTTCTGCCCTACAATAATAGTCCAGAAGAAATGCATACAGCATATAAACACAAACTGCACGTAACAGAAATGTCCCTTTCTGTTTAGGAAGTCAATTTTTATTTCATTATTGTCTCATGTTCATTAAAAAAAAAATTTCTAGGGGACCTCCAGAGACGAGTGGCCCTGTGCAACTGCTTTTATTGCTTAATGCGTATGACTGGCTCTGGTTATTTGGGCAGGGAGGGCGCCAAAAACATTTACACTTGTAAATGTTACATCCTCCCGAAGAGCTTGTTAATGACACAAAGCAGTTCTGTTCAAGAACAAATGATTTATTGACCATTATTAAAGCCATTAGTTACAACTTATAAAACCTTTATAAAGTACGCCTGATTAAAAAGCTGTACCAAATGTCCTCCAAGTGCTGTTTTGTAGTCCATTAAATCCAGGGATTGTACTTTTGTTTTTGGAAAAGTCAGCACACACTCTCATTACACAAACACACCAACCAAGGAAAACCATTTAATGCAAACCATTAACATTACAGAGGAAATGAGCCTTATGACAGCACTGCAGCATAATGCAGGATATGCTGAGTAGATCCTAAACTACAGGATCTCGCCAGCTCGGTGATGTCACGATTTATACACAACAGACACTTGTGGGTTCTGTAATGCAACAGTGTTTTGGGGCACGCATGCACCGAAAACACACATTCACGGGAAGCAGAATCTTGCGCCTGATTAGCGTGGCTTAGCTTTCACAATGACATCATCCCTGGCATGCACACACACACACACACACACACACACACTAAGAGAGAGAAAGAGGGAACACTCCGGCTGTGACACCTCCTCTCTCAGCCAACACACCTCTCAATCTGCTGTGTAGGTGCATGTGTAGGCACACACTTACATATGCATCCATCCCATCTGTGTATGTGTGTGTGTGTGTGTGTGTGTGTGTGCGCGTCACCTAAACTCACCTTTCTCTTGACAAACTGGAAAGCGGAGCACTTCTTAAAGGAAAAGGCAGTCTTCTCTCCACCTCCCCCGCCGCCCCCTCCTCCACCTCCTCCTCCTCCTCCCCCGTTCACCAGCTTCATGGCCGACACCGGCACTCCGCTTGCCTCCGTAGATCCCAGGGTGACGGACAGACTAACAGGGAGCAAAACAGAGAGATGGAGAGTTGACTAAGGCACGAGGGGCAAGGTTTGGCTTTTGCGGAGACGAGTGCGGGACGGAGAATGAGAGGGATGCTTGGTGGCAAAAAGAGGAGAGTGAGAGCCAGAGGAGGTGGAGGTGGAGGTGGAGGTGGAGGAAACAGATGGACCGTAATGTGTGGAACAGAAGCAGGATGCTGCAATGAGATTACTGTAATAACTAGGTGTCAGGATGGGGGATAAAGATAGGGAGGAAGTGAGAGCGAAAGAGATTCATTCGAAAAGATGGGGAGAGGATGAGGAGGAGGAAGGTACCAGCTCCTGTTGCTGTGAGGAGGAAGCGGCTCTGTTTACAGCCAGGAGTCAGAAAGCATCTCAGCAAACTGTCTGATGTGTGAAGTTTATCCATGCATGCGCATCACATGCTGAGTGTGTTTACACATCCCCACAAAGTGCACGCACACACACCTCCCCTCCTCCTGTACCTTTATACTGGTGTGTTGGCTGGTTCCTCTGCAGCTTTAAGACTCCTCCGAAAACTGGTCCCAGATCAGATGCACCAACTCCTGCTCCTCAGGCACAGGTGTCCCTCCCCTGCTGTCACCCAACTATGCCCACATACCCAAAAGAAGAGGGTGGAAAGGAGAGAAGGGAGAGCCTGTGATGATGTCCGTCTCAATAATCACTGTGAGATTATTATGTGTGTGTGTGTGTGGGTCCTCAGTGGTGCCGTTGTTTGGAGTGCATGGTGAGTGTTGATGCCGCTCGTGGCGTCAGCCTGTAAACAAACACCCAGGAAGTGTGTGTGTGCATGAGAGTGGGATGTGTGTGATGTGTCCAGCTGCAGTCCTCTGGCTCACACCAGCGCTACTTTATCAATGAAAGGCTCTGCAGTGAGCAAGTGCTGCCTCCCCTTCTCTCTCCTTCCATCTCTCTCCCTCTCGCTGTCCCTCATCACCACTCTGCCCTCCCCCTTTTCCCTCCGCTCGCTCATTTTTCTGCTGCAGTCGATGGTGGCACCTCCCTCTCTCTCTCTCCATCTCCATCTCCCTCCTTCAATCCACCTCACCTCACACTTCACCCCCATCAAGATTTCATTCTCCTTTCTTGTCCATCAAATTGTCCCAGTGAGGACCAAAGAGGACAGGGACACCTAAAACACGTCCCCACCACATGAAGCAGTATGCTGTCTTTCACTAACAGCAGCGGTCCAGCTGGATTTGACACACACAAGCAAACACACCTCATCATATCTGTGTGTATGCCCTTGTCTTTGTACCTATAACACTGGCTGAGTTTAATTTCCTGATGTGACACCCGACAATAAAGCTGAATCATGTTCCCTTTTATGAGTCTGTGCTCTTCACGTGCGCAGTAAACCAGGCAACAAAAAAATAAAATCACGTCTCGAGTTATGAGCCAGCTATATTGCCTTAAAAATAAATGATAATAAATGAAATATTACGCCAAAAGAAAGAACAGCTGAATTTTTTAATACTCTTTAAATATAGATGTTTAGTGCTCTCCATGTTTGGCAGCTTTATCTTGTATTATATCCGTCTGTCCTCTCCACATATCAATTAAAAGCTGATGTTTACTTACTTCGCCCATGATGAGGAAATTAGTTTAAACTTGACCTTTCCCTGCTGTAGCTCACAAACTCTAACCACCCGAGGCATTTCTAGCAGCTAATGTCAAAGTGTGACTTGAATTATAATTGGGGCCGGATCCAAAGCATTGTTTGTGTTGCTTTTTCTCCCTCGACAGAGCAAACTGCTCATATCTGATCAGGACTTGTTGGGCATGAGTCAGTGAGAACTGGTTATCACGGCTGGTCGGAGTGACAACCTGTAGACTCTGGTCTTTGAATCCAAATGGCTGTCAACTGTTGTTGCTGTCGCTAATAGTTCAAAATCATCAACAGTTTTATTAGAATTGTTTAATATTTAGGTAAATATGTTTTATTTGCTGTCTTCCCAAAATTTAGATGAGAAGATCAATACCAATTTCACATCCCTTTGCTACGCTAACAGGCGACTAGCATAACTTAGCATAAAAATCTAAAAGGAAGGGAGAAACAGCTATCTTGGCTCTATCCAAATCTAAAGGAAAAAGCAAGACTATGCTAGAAATAACACATTCCAGCACTTACAGATGAAAAACCAAATTAAATAGTACATCATTGCTGAATTTAATGGGCCTACACTCTGGGATTTTGCTGCTACAGCCTAACTTGGCTTAGTATAGCTAGTAGCTCATGGTGGCTAATGTTAGCTAACGTTAGCAAGCTTTAGGTGGTCTAAATATTGCTATATTATGGACAATACTGAGTCACTGACTTTATTACTTTTCTTCACTTGCACTTAATGCTAGTTTTATTTTGTTTTTATTTATTTTATTTACAGTGACTTAGCACCAGAATTAGCCGTACTGAGCTAATTTTCGTCATAGTCCGTGGGCAGGAAACAGAAAATAATTTCTCTGCTAAAAGACACTATTATATAAACGACACAATTACAAAACAGGACATATTCATGACACAACCGCTTCAGCAACAACAGCAAGACAACACAACGTCAAGTCATCGCAGCAATGACAACAGCAACAACAATACAACTACAACATTATAAGATGTAACAAGATTTCATAACGTTAGATCAAGTGTTTGAGTTCATATGTGATGCGTAGGATGATTGGGTTGATTTGTCATGATTTTACCTAAAATTAAAAACCAACAAAGGTGTTGCATCTCATTTGGTAACGAATTCCAACAGGGCATGCATCCCAAATGCTAAAACATAGTTTCGCTTCATTTGTAGCACCAGTGGCCACTGTTTAGCAAAAGTTACATACTTGCTTTAGTCTTTAAAAACTAAAGGATAAAGAAAACAGTTGGATTTATGGGGAGTTATTGTTGTGGGATATTTCTTGACGTATCATAGTAACATAGGGCTACAAGCTGTTTCCCATGCTACCAGTTTTTATGCTAAGCTAATCCATTGAGCCTGGCCCTAGCTTTTTATTTACATGTAGACATTAGAGTTCATTCTCATCTATGTGCTCATTTATGCTCAATGGGTGATACAGAGACGGACAGAGCCTTTTTTCTTTACTCCGAGTTAATTCTGTTCATATTTGTGCACATTTTCTAAAAGCTTATGAATAGTTTTTTGGCTTTTCTTTGTAGTAATTGCATTTTGTGTTTTATTTTTTTGTTCTGTGTTGTCTGTCTGTAACTTATGTTGCTGCCCATCTTGGCTATGACAATCTTGAAAAAGAGATTTTTAATCTCAAGAGGTTTTTTTCTGGTTCAATAAAGGTTAAATAAACAATAACAAAAAGAAAATATGGACGAAATGGGGCATTATCACGGGAGATCGTGAAGGCAGTGTAGCATAGGTCAAGCAAGATACGAATGTAGGAGCAGACGACGAAGAAATTTAAAAAAAACGGCAGAGTGGAACAAATCAGTAACATTTAATAATTAATATACAGTGAAAACAGTAAAAAGAATTCTTTGTCCCAGCGTCTATAATGGCTGCACAGACCACCGCCATTTACAGAGCAAATAGCCTAAGCATATTTCCTAAAATAAACTATTCCTTTAAACATATTAGGTAGCTTACTCCCTCCACAGTCAAGTTTCATCATGTTTTTGTCTGTATGAGAAATGTCTGTAAACATAGATATGAAACATTTGTGTGTGAAAAGATGTGCTCAAGTGCCAGTTAACTTAATGAACAACAAGTGCTAGTAACTTTGCAGAAAATGCTGTAAATGCACAATTTAACATGCATAAAATATATCATATTAAATCAGTTTCCTGGAGTGTTTTATTTAGTACAATAGTACAATTACACTGGCTGTTAGGCTCTACTGTATTGATCAAGACAGAACCAATTAGAAAGGAAAGGTTACGAACCTAATATATCAATGGGGAAAAAGCACCACCTCCTCTCCCTGTGTAGCCTAAATTGCAAGGTGCTCCTTAATAACACTCGGCGGCATATGCGGAAATTAAACTCTCATTACAAAACAAGCAAGTCAGTTTGCCTCAGCTTCATATGGAGACAGATGTAGCCCGGTTCTCCCTGCAGGGAAAACAGTGACTGTGCAGTATTCACTGTAATCAGGATCAGTCAGAGGCCCAATCAACAGTGACTCATCTGTAATGACACGGAACAATGATTGGTGAAATCAGCTTTGCACCCAGCTGCATAGAAACTGAGGGCGGCCTGTAATACACCAACGCAGGCGAACAATGTATTGTCTTCTATTGAAAAACTTTGGTTTTACAAGTATATTCATCTAATTTGTCTGTGAAATACTCTTTGAAACTTCATATACTGCACTCAGAGTTTAATTACAAGGGCTACACATAAATAGCACCAAAAAATATTTGAGCTATTAAGTGCATTTTAATACTTGCCTCACTGCATCTAGTCAATAGAATAAAAGACGAAAAAGCCTATTTTGGCTCTTAACATTCGAGCACCAGTGGTTCGCTTTGCTGTATTCAGTCATGAGAGTAAAAGGAGACAAAAACAGTTTGCCAAAGTATCTCCTCACAGATCTGTAAGGGCTCCAGGGTGCTATTATATAGTCTGACAGCAGCAACACTCTTACATAACCGCAACAATTTCTCACTCAAATATATAGCTCTATTGCACATAAATTATTCTGTGATCTCCCAAAAGACCCAAAGATTCTCCGCTGCTCTTGTGAATTCAAATGCAGCCGATAAATAATTAATAACGCGCTTTCTTAAATGGTTCAGAGAATTGCCAAAATGATAGCAAAGTCAATAAATTATGGATTTTCCTAAAAGTCAGCTAGATGTAAGTAAAGTATCAGCTATAACAACCCTGCCTTAAAAAACAGCCTCCAACTGTGAGGACCACGTGACATGTGGGGGTTGGTGTTTACGCGCATTTTCCTGCTTATTATTTACCCAGAATAATTAGACAAAACATTTCAGACCGAGAACTTTTAATAGAAAGCCAAGTGAGGCTGTTTTAAGCCCTTGTGATGGTCAGAGGTGGTATACACTTTCCATCTCAGACTGCTAATGAGCTCCACTGGGCATGTTTTGATCATATACTGAACAAGACCTTGTAAAAAAAAAAAAAAAAAATCTCTGCTAATCCATCTCAGTCTTTTTAGTGAGGAAAAAAAAACACCCCGACTTGAATCTGATGAAACCAGTGAATGTGAGAGACAGCACAGACAGAGCAAACACAACTAATGAAATGATACAATATTCTTCTATTAAATTTTTTCAGTTGCACATTTTATATCTGGCAAACTTCCAAAATTACAATGCTGGGAAATAACAATGTGTCTTTTCTGCATAAATTCTGGCATTTCACTGTTTGCAGCCAAAGGATGAATCACAGTGTAAAGGGCAGCATAAGATCATCAATGGATATTGATCGTGTGTCTGTTTATCCTGCCTCTACGAGTCATACATAGTGCAAAGAGGCCTCCACCTCTACAGTCAGTTTAACAGTATTCACATTTACAGCAAGTTACATTTGCAAGAAGAGAGCAAATCAACATTGCAGATGAGGAGATGATGAAAAGAAGCATCTTTGCCAGCCCATCTTCCCCACACTCTATTTCTGTCTTTGCCCTCTGACCTGTATTCACAGCATGAAACACAATTGATTTCCACTGTCCTCCTCAGCTCTGCTGGTCTACTCAGAGAGGCAGGGTCATGGGCTGCCGTCTTGCCACAGGGTGAGTCTTCCTTTGTACAGGGACAGGCTGTGCCACTGACACCCGGAAGGTGAGCTCATCACTGGGAACAATGCCCTGAATTCCCTCCACTATGTGTACTTGACTGC